ACGTGTCGTGATTCGCTGGTGAAATTCCTTGATCAAGAAACAGCAATGCAAAGATCAAGAGGGCCGTATTGCGTAAGGGAACGCAATGTTCGTACGGTTTATCGGATACGAGACATCTTAGAAGAGCGAGACAGCTCGTGAAAAAAAAGAAGTATTGTGTGGACGGATATATCGCGGATGGGAAAAGACACTTTCCTTTATACCCGTGAATGAATCTCATTAAAAAGCGTTTCACCTGTACGAAGGGGAGAGGAAGTGAATTTTAATGAAAATATTCTCGTGGTTTCGATTCTTCTCTCTGTAGGAGGTACCTTGTTACCCCTTTATACAATTATTAGAATAACACTGTATTGTTTAAGGCTCATACTAATTTGATAAGGAAGCATAATAGCTTGTCTTAACCACTTGACTGTACTTGATTGCACGTTATAATTTTGTCCTTAGAATTACGTAAAACAATGTTGAAATATTGTAATCTTCTCCATAATAATTATCTTCCAAACTTCATATTATGTGTTTTGGCGATGCTAATAATTCAACATATTAATTGTCCTGTTGTTGGCTCCAACTTAGAATTTAGAATTTTCTACATGAAAAATAAATTAGCTACACTTTTATCGAATTCCGATTGTCACAAGTGTCCCATAAATTAAATCTTCGCATGAAACGAGAAAATGGATGTTCAGATTTCGTAAGATTAAGCGATGTGAAATGTAGGTGAATGGTTTTCGACTGGATGTGGCTAATTTGCAAGAGAATAGTATGACATAATTTCACGTTAAACAATACAATTTTACCTCGTCGTGATAGCGTCGTTGTTGCTTTTTCGCATTCTCAAACATTTAAGTTCGCCAGCGCCTGCCTGATTTCCCTTTGTCATACAGAGTAATTGTCCAGATAATTTTCTGTCCTTGTGCACACCGCGGGGTGTAATTGTAATAATATCTCCATGTGCCATGAAATTCGCATAAATCACAAGTTAGAAAAATTATAAAAAGACAAATACAATTCGTACGTATGTTTAAGAAGTAATTTAATTGTTAATAAATGTATTTCCTTTTTTTTTTGAATATTATTACGGTATTTTTTAAGTATTGTTATTATAATCTGTTATATGACGATTATTAATATATATATATATAGTATATCAATATATTATTGTACATATATATAGTTTATCTCCTTGCTTTTCAGATATAACTATTATAATTTTTTTCACTTTGTTATATAGTTTCTTCGCTTTTTATAACACCTCAACATCGGAAACTGCAACTTCCCTTTTGTAAGTTAATAATTTCCATTACGGCACCATCAAGACGCAACAATGCTTTATTGATTATCCTCCTTCACTAATTCTCTCCTCCGCAGAATTGCTTTTTGCCCTATAATAATTAAACGTGTGCACGTGTGCACTTTCACCGGTTATTTACAACTAATAACGGAAGTGTGCACGTAAGTTCATACTTCCGCTGATATTCTTCCGAGTGTTGAATCCTAAGAATGAAGCAGAGAACAACTGTTTTCGACGTGAAATTTTTATTTAAAAGATAAGAGACATTAATTTGATGTTCACAGAATTGAAGAAACCACTGTAACACATGTTGTTTAACTAAATAATAAATTGTTAATAAATAAAACAATAAAATGATTAAAATTTTATAAAGATACACGCATAGGATATTTTTACATTTACATTCGCAGCCTTTTAGTTTACTGATCGACAATTGTTCTTACATTTTTGTTCCTCTTAAAAAGTATCAAATACAGATTAAAATGGATATGGACGGATTTAAACAAATTATACGTGACGCATTCTGTTAAAACCGGAAATCGTACAAGTGCTAATCGTTGCTCTATTTTATTCAATGTAGATAAATCATGAGATTATATGGAACAGTGAAAGTGATATTTAAACATTTGAATGGAGATAAAAATCTTCGAGGCTTCCACGACCGACACATGCAACAAGGCTCGCATCCGTAAGCTTCCGTGAATATCACTGTAGAATAGAAAAATTACTCATATTATTAATCAATAAAATTATCAACATTTAAAATACTGTCAAAATTTCGCGGTTATTGCGTAATGTCAAGGTGATTTTTAACAAGTACGATGGCAGTTTGTTGCAATCGGGCAAACATAATGATACTCTCTTACTGCCAGTGTAGATATTACGCACAAATTATGTGATGCAGTTTATTCCCAAGGTTTGGAAGCCTGGGATGAATGCAAAAGTTGTTCGTGAAACCACAGTGAACTAAAGACTATTTCACGTGATCGTTTCGCAATAATTTGCATATTTCTTTATTCTTCGAATTTTCTATACTTAGAAACAAGAAAGACTAAATTATATCTAAAGGCAGAGGATGTTAAACGTTTTGACAAACTCTTCAGTCTTCCTTCAATCAAATGTCTATTGTATTAAAATCAGACATTTCCTCGACACTTAACCCATTGCTAATTTTATACTTTGCTAATAACAATGATTTACGAATCAAATTACGTGAGTTTCAAACTATAATAATGATACTGATTGGTTATGTTCAAATGGTTCCGACCGCCACCGCGCTTTTACTAATCGAGTATTTTCGAATTATTTCGCGAGCCACAGCGCGACTGCGCGAAAATTGATATATAAAATTTAAAAATTTAAATAAACGTAGACAAATGAACTTAAGTGTAAAATCCCGTCGCACGGAACGAGATAAACGTTTATACATATAACTTCAAACGGTTTATGATAAAAAAAAAAA